ACCCTGAACCCCATGGACGTACAAGGCCTCAGGGTGTTGAAAGATTTACGGGTGTAGATCTTGGTGTAGATAACCCTCTTCCTGCTGCATTCCTTGCCATGCTTCCCAGGGAGGCGACATCCTAAGAACTCCGGAAACATCGATCCAGCGGGCTAATATAGGGGCACGCAGCGGGGTCCAGCCCTCTGTGAGGAATGAAGCGTCACAGTCACATTTAACTGCCAGGCGACGAACGTGGCCTTATGATCTATTCGTAGTACCTAAGCCCTTTAAGTTAGGCAAATAAGTNNTCTGAAATCATCGCTCGCAGAAAAAATACTTGTGAAAGCCACGCCCAACTTGCCAACAGACCCACTAAGCTCCGGGCGCAGGACTTGCAGCTGATGCTGGAGTATGTCCAGGTCATGCTGCAGCTCATCTCTTTCAGAGTTCGCCACTCTCCTTGATGCTGCATTGAGGCTCTAATGCTCAGTCCTTCGAGCTGTCCCACAGTTCGATATAATCATAACTAGGTAACTATGTCCCTCCCAGCAGATGCCGGCATTCTTTGCACCTCTCACTGTCGCGGACTCGAACCCGCGAGGCCTCCATCCTAATTACATAACTGCATTTCCTTCCTTACTTAACCTAAACATCCCTAAACCCTGACCCTTTAGGAATCCGAAGTCCGGGTCTTTGGCTGCAAAGGCGCTCGCCGCGCTCGGCGTCCTCTCGCAGGCCATGTTCGTGGCGCAACGCCGCCTCCAGATCCTGTGCTTCTTCGTTTGGGCCTGCCTATAGTCTCACTTGTAGTTCCTTTTGGGGCTTCCCTTTTGGGATCCTAAATATAAAATCGGTTTATCCAGAACAAGGAACTACAATGGAGAGTAAGGTTATAAGTACCCTAGTTGGGGTTATAATTATAGTTACCTTATCTATAACCCTAGTTACTCAGTCCCATGGTCCTTCAAGTAGGCTGTGTTCACGGTTGGTGGATGGTGAGCTCGAGGTGACGTCCGAAAGCACTTCGGCCGCAGTGTGTAGGAGGTGCAGTGAGCACGAGGACTTGTGGAACTATCGTCCCCTAAGCCCCCAGTTACTTAATTTATAGGGCCTTAGGGGCTCATAGTACCTTATCTAGTAGGTACCTGGGGGGTTAGGGGTCGCTCAAGACGATACCAGCCGTAGCCAAAAGCTGACAGATAGTGCCCTGCACTAGAAGAAGGACGGATGCCGACCCACACCCTGCGCCCAAGCTCCCGATTCATTACATTCCCCCGCAGAATCTCAAATCCTACATCAGGAACCAACTAACCGAACCCTAACCCTCCAGGTACCTACTATATAGGGTTTTAGGGGCTCTAGT